TTTTTTTTTACTTGAATTAACTTCACGCATCCTACTTTCTCATACTAAATGTGAGTTTCTTGGAACATGGTATCACACAGGCCCTCAAATGTTCTCAGATCTGAACCGCAAGGTTTCAAACAGACTTCGTCTCCAGATTGCGTGAATCTTTAGAGTTTCATTTTTTTGCATTCACTTCTTTTGAAAAAAAAGACTTTCGAATATTTTTTTACAAGGCTTCAGGTGTTCTTAGTGAGTGTGTGGATATATGATTATATGCTCTCACCATTTTATCGATATTTCCCAGTACATGTCCTTTTACGGAAACGAGAGCATTGCCTAATATAGATGTAATATTCGCCAGCAATTTGATACCTTAATATCTTCCGCTCCTAAAGACATGCTGAGAAGTTCGTCGTGAGTTAGGACACGTTGATGGGGAGGCTTACGCGGCTCAAAATCGAAGAAGATGGGGGATAACGGAGCCTTTCAAGGAGCATAGGACATTCCCTTTGTTTATTTTGAAGTGACTCCTGCATGGCGAAGATTGTAAACAACGTGAATTGGAATCATGATATCTTTAGTGAAAATCACTCTTATTGTGGGCAACGTTGTTCGAAGGCGATTCATTTGACGCCCGTTTATTCCTCCTTTTCTCGTAGAAGCTGTCTGTCGTTGTTCCATATTATCAGTTTTCGCAGAAGATCATTGACTTCTCCACCCTCTTACTTTTACCTGACATTTCGGAAAGAAAGTGCTGCGACACTTCTGACAACTCAGTCTGGAGTGCCTTGTTGTAATAATCTCAAGTCGACAAGTTAGTTGGCACTGGCATCCGATATGAGTACTTTTACTTCCCATCACTTATCGATTCCATTCGTTTTAAACTGCAGTGATTTTTGAAATAAAAGGGGTGAAGGGATGCTAATAATTCTTCTTTGAAAATGATGCCGTAGTGCCTGTTGACATATTCAAACAGTTGGGAGTCATCTTCGCCATTTAAGGGGAGGGGAAACGGGCTACGAAGAAAACAAGCCATTGTGAACGAACATGACGCAGAGGGTTTGTCATCTGCTGGGATTCATTAGAGTAGCTTCCGGCCGTTAGCGCTATACTAGTATTGAGCAGTTTGCAATAAACCATCTCTTTGGAGCAGTTTAGTAAACTTCATTTCTACGATGACCCTCTTTTTCTCTCTCTGTGAGTAGCCTCTCTATTCAAAGAATCTTTGACGTTTTGTTCATGATTTACGTTAGGGACCGACCGACCACTCGCCCTCGTTCATCAAGCTTGTCAAGAAATTGTACTGGTGCGGACTGAAAAGCAGATGAGCCATGATCGCTCAATTCTACTCGTCATATTTATGAATTTCATGTGGGACCCAAGGGTGTGACGACTACTGAGTGCGTGCAGCATAATTTCGTCATTATCAGCCGTTTGCTTCTTGGCGTGTATCTAAGCCTAAGTAAATATCCACCATACGTTTCCAATGACCATCAAAAAAGTTGCTCATTTTCGACTGAAATATGGCCATCTGCGAAGCTGCGCTGACACCATAGCATGGTGGACGTCACCCTTAGATACAGCAAAGATAGCAGCTGTGGCATCTAAGAACACTCACCGCATGATTCTTCGGAAGATCGCTTCATTTTCATGGTAATTTTATATCCTGAATAGTTATGTCATTCTCCGAAATTTTCCAGAACCTTGAGCAATAATCGGGTACTTAAATTCGCCAAATGATCCCATGACTTTTGGTTTCTTCGAAAATAAACTGTTCAGAGGTCGACGAAACCTTATTAAACGTATTATTTTCATTTTTGAACTTTATATCCCGAATCCTCTCCCAAATATTTGTTTGCCTCTGTAATATCTTATCTTGGGTGAAAATACCTACGAGAATCTTGAGAAACACATTGTTTTTGAAAAGGTTTCCTTCCTTCTCCAGCTGTTTTCTCAGCATTCATTACCCGCTGTTAATCGAGGCCACCCAATCGAATACTAGAAAAACGCTATCTTGGTTTTCTAATGAACTGGCTCTCACATGAATGATGGCCTTTACTCATCGAACATTTGATAATCTCAAATGTGTTCGGCACAAATACTTTCTGAGCTCTGAAAGGACTTGTGCCTGTACGAGGTTTCTCTTTTTTCACTTTTTTCACGTCGCTTTTGTAGATAATTTGTTTATTTTGGTTGATATCGCGGATCTTTGTGCTCTTCGCCATGCACTTTTGTGCTTGGTATTATTTTTATGTTCCTAAGTAAACAATATGTGTAAACATCTGTAAAGGTTATACTTCCTTGCTGAGCAAGGCTTGAATTTCTCCAATGAACATTTCTTCTGAGCTCAAATTGCCTCACAAATTGCCCCGCATTGAAAAGGAATTATAATATCGAAAGCTAAAAGCCGAATTTATTTATTTTCATCTAAGGTACAATTAATAATGTAGGTCGAGTCGGAAGCTTATCCGACGTATTCAAAGCGGCCCACCTGGTCAGGCTGGAGTCTGAGAGGGCCGAATGGACGGTGGATCGGGTAGATACACCAATGACTATGACATATGAAAAGCTACGAAAATTTTGTATGCAAGACATTAATTTACGCTGCACTTTGACAAAAGCTATGCGGTGAAAGCCCCTCCTGCAGTATTTATGGAACACCCTGTAAAAGGAACGTTTTTTNCTGAGAGGGCCGAATGGACGGTGGATCGGGTAGATACACCAATGACTATGACATATGAAAAGCTACGAAAATTTTGTATGCAAGACATTAATTTTCGCTGCACTTTGACAAAAGCTATGCGGTGAAAGCCCCTCCTGCAGTATTTATGGAACACCCTGTAAAAGGAACGTTTTTTTTTTCTGGAATAGCTCTCAAAAGGGCGAAGCTTGCACTTTTCGTATACTTCATAACGTTCTTTTTTTTTGCAGCTCTGTTTCCAGTTCTCATTCCTTCCTTCATTTAACTCTTTCCCGTCCTCTCCGAGTAAGACTCAATTTATCACGCATTTTTGGGACCGACTCAGCTCTGACTAATATGCCTTATGGGATCATCCCCTTCTCATTCAAAGGCTGTGCTTGCTTTAGGTCATCAAACCTTGTTCAACGCTCTGACAGCCCGTTTTTCAGTCTTCGAAGATGATAGTATTACCAAAAAAATGTTTTCTCTGAAGTGCTTTTCGTGTATGTTATTCTCGTCTGCGATGTTTGTTAGAATCGCGGACTAATGTAATTCGATAGCTTCCTTGGGACGTTGTGATGAGTTCGAAGCTAAAGCACATGTTCTGCAGCCATCGTCGAACACATAAGAAACTGATTGGCTTTTCAAATCTCTCCATTCATCAGACACATTTTTCTGTTCTAAATGTGTCTGCACCCTCCCTGCCTCTTCCGGTTTTTCAAGCAAGCAGCTCGTAGCCGTTTCTTTAAATATCTTGCTCGATTTTTCTAAGAATTTTCGGTTTTGTGAGTGTTACAGATAAATACGTAATAATGTCTATCTCGATTACAAAATTCAGTGTCTTTAGCTCTTTTATGACTTTCTGCATTGATTTGAAGTTCGTGCTTGATTGAATTGGCGATGACCTCGCGAAAGTAGGGTGAAATGCGAAAAAGATTCAAGACATTCCCAGCAGAATGCAAAAAAGTTGAAGTCTGTTAGACCAAACAGCATACACAATTAGTTCTCTCAAGGGAGCGGTATGGGCATTAATAAATGGGTGGTACTGGGCGAATTAAAGTGGAAGAGGGTGGATGACTTGGGATGTAGATGCAAATACAAAAGACGTCAGTGCTTTTCAAACAGATTGCCAAGGATATGAAAATAGGAAAAAAGGATTGGAAAAGTATGAAGATGGGGAGTTGGTTGAAAGTGGTTGATAAGTACAGCAGCGGTTGTCTTGCTGGATTTATGAGTTTTTTATTGAGTTGTTGTTGTTTTGGCTCTGTTTGGAAGTTGTTTTGATGTTTTTATACGATATGTTTTATAGCTTTATGATTCACATTGATTCAGCCGCTAAAACAAACATGGCCAGTAGTGCAAACAAAACAGGTTTCGATGAAAAAACTTCAAACGTATGTACTCTTGGTTTTGTTCCGGTAAACCAGCTACCTTTAACTGCTCAATCGTACTATTGGTGTGTAGTCATGCATGAATATAGTGAGTAGCTCGGGCATTGCACTGTGAATTCCCACGCTTACGCTACACACTTGCAGGACGACGTCCCAATAGCTTTGGGGGGAATTATCTCAGCAAACACTGAGGCGCACTGCAATTCCCGTGTCTTTGACTCTTCTCGTTCGGACTTCTCCGACATCATTTGTGACCGCCAGCCGGGCTGTGCATAGCAAACATCACATTGTCTGTTTAGTTGTGATTCCACAAGCTAATGTTCTCGAGCTAATATTGCTAGAATTTTAATAAAACTTTATTAGGACCTTACCTTACCCTGAATAAGGATCATCGATGTCGATTCTTTGATTTTTCATGAAACTTTTGCACTTCCAAAGTACTTCATGTCAATTGAGTACATCGACGATCGAGTATACGATCGATATGAAGGATCGTGTTTCGCCAAACTGTGGCTGAGTTATACGGGCTACACATTACAGCTATAGCGAGGGAATGACCGGCCACAAAAGCTTTCATGTAAACTAATTAGACGTAGCAAAGTGTTTACTGTGACATGCGTTTCTGGTTACGCTGCTCGAACAATATCCCATCGGCCACGGCCACTCTCGTCTCACCAGCTGTTTTGTCGTGTCGATGTGTAAAGACTAGCCATTACCCCTAGTGGGGGCCATCAGCGCTCGGTGTGGCCTGATCGATTTACATAATCGAATCGTATTAGTGCTGCACCTTTTTAGTTCGTCCCCCCACACAGACGGACACCGGTAGCACTTTAACGGCATGTTGCATTCTGTGTGTGGGCTATCCCCTCTATATTGATCGTCACTGAACTTCTGCACGAGTAGGCTGTCGTCGTCGTCGTTGTGTCTGTCCATAAGATCTTAGCACAAAGCGCAGATGTCTTTTGCATATGCATTACGCGGACTCTTTCACGTGGGACCAAGAATCAAAGCTTTTTGCACATTCATTGTTGCTTGAACAGATGTGATCTCATGGTTATGTCACAACATTTTTCTTTTGTCAGTAGGTGTTTTCATGCCCAAATCACATTCTATCTGCCTTAATTTGCTCCAAATTTCAATCGATTTCAAAGTGTTTGACAGGATGTTTAACAAGTCCTCAGTCGCCTGAGTCGAAACGCAATCAAGCCCGCGGTCATTGCCGAGAGGGAACCGCCCTGTGTGCTTCTGCATATTGATCAAATTTTTCTTATAGATGCGGTAGTTCAACTAACAGTTCCGACTTCTATGGACAGAATGACGTCATTCGTTGCGACGCCTACGCAACGCGCTTTCGTCGGAAAGCGCAACAAGTAGGTGTTGACGTTTGAACTATATTGATGAGGCATTTGTACTGAAGAACGGTTGTTGGATGTCAAAAACGACCTTTTCGTTAACCGGAAATCTTTGTCGGCAGTCGGAGTTAGACTTGAAAATCTTAAACGATCTCGTGCAGAGCAATATAATTTCAGAATGACGGCAGCTGACGTCCGAAAACATGTGATGACTGGTAGTTTGATGATGTTACATCCTGGAACGCTGGATTTAGCCTTTCCGAACAGCTCATCCACACAAACAGTTAGTCTATTATTTACTTGTTTACCCGTAATGCCACCCATTCATCTTCTCCTAATGTTTTTTGAGGGGCTGCTCGGTTCACATACGCTGTACGTTTTAAACTTCCACTAGTAATTCTCCCGTAGGGGGACTAGTGGCTTGTATTATGCACAATTATACAGAGGCTTATCAAGGGAAATGGAGAGGGGATGGATTTTCAAGCGTCTAACTTATTGTTAGAATCTTCGGCCTCGTATGGGACTCTCGCTTATGCCTGTCTTTCGGGCACCGTACTGATAGCTCTTGATAGAGTTCGTACCTTTTCTGACTGTTCCAGAATACAGAAAGTTTACTAAAGTTAACTCAAAATCTGCCTTGCTGGAATGCCCAGTGTCGTCAATCATGAAAGTGATTATTTCTTTTCAGCTCAGCTTAGTGGATGTAGTAGACCCGGTTGATGTTGAAGAGGCTCTGGCTCAGCGTCGTACATCTGCCCTCTATGACATATCGTCTACAACGAATAGTCCTAGAAAGTACGTTTCTCATCTTTATAATGCCAAGAGTCTTTGAAGCCTTGATAAATGC